AAGAAACCATACATCAACACATGTGAGATTTTCATTGGTTCAGTCCAGGAAGGAGGGACATTTCCAAGGGGTTGGGGGGAGGTGGGGAGTTGCAAGCCAAAGATTTCTTGACTGGCAATTTGTAATTCTTATCTAAGGAATTTTGGGAACCAGGAGAGATGTTTTTTGCTGAGATAAGGGAGAGGAAAGGCTCTAGGTTTGTTAATATGAAGATGAAGTCCCTTATGTGGCAAATTTAAGAGAGGATAAATAAATGTCTTACAAAGTTCCTGGGAGCCTGGGAATTCATAAGAGATGATTTTTCAGGGCCATAAACCTTCTTTATTTGTTATGTGATATTATGCCAGAGTCAGGTTGGAAAACAAGTTTTAGGATATAGAGTAATAGGGTAATAAAATCCTGCCTGGGGAGTCCTTATCAGGCAGTGACTCCCCAAACCTCTTAGGAATTTGGATAAGAGGGAAAAAGGTCAGGTTTAGTCCTCAACCAAACCAAAACAAAACAAAAAAACATAAATATGTTTTTTTTCTATGAGGGAAGTTGGGCAGGTATCAAGTTTAGTAGAAGAACTATGCTGGGATCTTGCCTAGGAGCTGGATCCAGGGCTGGGAACACAAAGTCAGCATTAAGTGAGAATCCAGAGATAAATTCCTTCACTTCAGCCTGTGACTCATGTGGAAATTCAGTACAAGGAGCCAAGAAAGGGATGTAAGTAAGGACCTTGCCTCTGAATCGCTTTCTGTTCTAAGGGTTGACCTCCCTGCTTCTTGGAGGCAAAGTCCCCTGTCTACTTCTCTGTTCAATGATAATTTTTTCTAAACCCCAGTGAAGCAACCCCCACCCGCTCAATGTCTGAAGAAAGTGCCAAACCCATTTTGGAAAATGAAAAAATTGTCCTGTATTTTTAGTTCTTTGAACATCTGTATAGTAGAACGTGGTTCAAGATTTGTTATTGATTTATTTTTATAGAGACAGGGTCTTGTTCTGTCACCCAGGCTGGAGGGCAATGGCTCAATCATAGCTCACTGCAGGCTTAAACTTCTGGGTTCAAGCGATCCTCCCACCTCAGTCTCCCAAATGCTGGGATTACAGGCGTGAGCCATCATGCCCCGCCTCAAGATTTATCACTGCTGTCAATATTTCTTTTGAAACTGTTGGTATGCCCCATGGCCTAAAGATAAAGGACTCAACTGCAAGACATTGGAGGCAGCTGAATCTAGAGAGCTTCACAGGCATTCATTTGTGGGATCAGAGTTGGGGATCTCTGACGAATAATGTGCTTACATTCTTGCCATTGGAGGAGCCAGACTAAATTGTGCTTGAAGGAAATAAAGACGTTTGCTGTGGGAATCGAAGCTGTCCTGCCGACTAGCTGCCCTAGATAGCAGCAAGGTTTCTCCCAGCATAGGGCTGAAAGGAAGGACTGAGCTTAGCAAAAGAAATGCTGATTAAATAAACATGTCCCACCTAGTGTCCTACCCCCACCAGGCACACCAGAGTTTCTTTTCCAGCTTCCTCTAGGGACCCAAAATTCTGCCAGGGAAGGAATAGAGACAGAAGTTGTGTTACTTGAGAGAGCATTAGGGATCCCAGAAGGTGCTGTGTGTCTGATTAGAACACTTTGAAGGGGAGGTTGATTAGAGATTTTCCTGGGAGACCCAAAGAATGAGCACTCATCAGGGTGAACCAGTGGTAACTTGTGTGAAGACTGCACATTGTTATAGGTGGTCCCAGACTTGCTTTGTCTTTAAAGATGAGTATACCCCTCCCCCACCTCCTGCTTTTCCTGGGGTGCTGGGTTGTCTCTTGTCACCGTCATCATCTGCTTTTGCATATGGCTCCTCATCACTTACAGATAGCTCAGTGTGCTTTTAAGTCAAATGTGTGAGACCTCCCCATGGGCACATTTCTCTAATTAGAAGAGAAAGGCCGGGCACTGGAGTGGTTCAGTGTGATTCTCTCCAGCCTCCTCAGAATCTTGGCATCTGGATTACGAGGTCCCCTGGGTGGGATGCACTCTTGGTTTACCAGAAGGAGGAATGGTATCTTCCATGCAGCTAAAGATTCTGGGAGGAGACCAGAAACCAGTTTAACTGGCCCATTAAGCATCCTAAGCAAGGATCCTCTCCTTTAAACTCAAGTACAGTCCCTGAGTGTGGTTAACTGGGCCAGAGTGAAAATCTTGGGGCAATGTTTTGGCCCAAGCAAGTGTTAGTAAGTTATTTCCTCTTGGAATTCAGATCTCTTCACCTAAGGAGTGAGTTGAGTTATATGCCCTTAAAAGGCCTTTTCTGGTCTGGTGTCCTATTGGTGTGTGTGTGTGTGTGTCCTCTTGAGCCCAAGGGAGAGATAACTGTTAAATTGGAAGGATATGTTTCAAAGTCATCATTTTTCTGTAGAAATAGAGCTCTAAGTTTTCTAATAACCTCCTACATGTCACATTATTTTTCATGCCTGAGGGCCTGAAGTTATTGTTTGATTTCTTCAATTTGAGAAGCAACTCACTTTAAATGTTGGATGCTGAGAGAAACATCTTTAATAGCTTCATTACAGAGCCATCTTTTCTCTTATTCTGGCTGAGGAAATGAATCTGTTTTGCTAAATGACATTAATTTTTCAATATATAATAACAGGTATACATGTGTATATATCTTAGCATATTAAACATGTTTTAAGTTTATCATTAATCAGACTTGAGAAGCAAAGAGTAAATGCAAGTGCAATTAATTTATTACCTTAATACCAGTTGGGGGGATGAACAGTCACCAGGCAAACAGCAGTTTTCATTTGAACAAACATTTTTTTAAATGAAAGAGTCACATCAACCCAGTATAGTGGTTCCCTTTTATTTGCACACATGAACACACTTCTGGGCTATGAGCTTGAGGGATGTAGCAGAGGAGGTTGATTGATGGTATGAGCTGCCACTGTTCTAAACATGCCTTCAGTAAGTTCCTTCTCTGTTTCACAGCTGAACTGTTTAGGCGGCAATTACTTCATTCATATCTAAATACACTAACACGATGTAAAAGATTAGCGAGGAAAACATTTGAACACTGTGGCTAAGATTCCATATGTTAATTTTTCATCTCATAGCAACATAACACTTTTATTCACTGCAAGATCACAAGTACACACTAATATTTACAAAAGTTTTTCAGTTAATTTTAAATGAAAAAGGATGGTACTTTTCGGATAAAAAGGAAAAAGGAGATGAATCTTGTTGCCAGACTTGACTGGTACATGGTCTACTCTTAAAGAATCTTCTAATTGGGAGAGAAGTCAGGATAGGTAATAAATAAAAATTCAATCACTATCATATTTATAAAAATGCAGATAACCCAAAATGCATACTTGCTTGGCCTTGGAATGCATTGTGTAATTTTGCAAAATCAGAATTTACTAACAGTTTTGCTTAGGCTAATATTATAGTGCGTTTGCATTTTCTGAGGGTACAATGATTGGGCTGAAGGCTAGTCTACTGAAAGGTGATATAGAAAAAAGTGCAAATGATAACAAACAACAAAATGCTTCCTTCTCTACAGAAGATTAGGAATCAACCAAATATGGATGGATCAATTCCAAGCCAGGTACTATTTGTATAGTTTCTGCTTCAAAATGAATCAGGAAGAAATGAGGACATGTACACTCAGCCACCACAGGCATAAAATAATAGAAATAGATTCAGAAACGATATTTATGCAGATAACAGGCAAGGAAGACTGTCAACACTTCTAAGATCACAGGGATGCTAAGCGTTTGGGGGTCACTGAGACTCTGAGGTTAAATTTTTCTGACTATAACCCGGGACAGGAATTCTTTTTAGCCCCAGTGTAGAAGGGATACAAGATGAAGCGTTCAGGGGTCTCTGGTCCACAGAACAGGGAAGAAAAAGTGGGGGCATTTCTCCATAAGAAATGACAGTGGTTGGGGTTTCCAAACACATTCCCTCCAAATAAACAGTTCAACATCACTATTCATTCTTATCATTTGCACAGCTGCAAAGCACATTCACAAATTATGATGTCAGTGGGCTCTCCCAACAGTTCTGCAAGGTGGGCAGAGCAGTATTTTCATCTTCCCATTTTATCACAGCAAAACTGAGACACAGAGGAAACTTCCATGAGTTTAGGACATGAGTCCCAGGTCTTTGGATTCCAGGGAAGGTTCCTCTTGTAAAAGAGGGTGTGTTCTGGAAAATAACCCAGGCCTTAGCAAAACGGCCACATGGATTATGTTCACTGACAGTGGCAATCTCCACCCCTTTTTCTGTCCTCTTCCTCCCTGACCCCAGAGCCTCTGAAGTCCTTTGAACTGAGATGTCAAGAAGTGGACGTGTTTCTCACCTCAGGATTGCTCAATGTCACCCAATAGAATGATGAGATGTCAAACATCAGTGGCAAAGATATTTTTAGGGTCTTTCCTTTGAAATTACACCATTGTAGATAACCACATTAGGTTGACCTGGTTGCAAGAAAATATTTTTTCCTGGCATCCAGAATCCTAGCGAATGTTCCAGGAGGTAGCAGAAGCTAGATGGGGAAACTCAATGTGATGGCTTGAACTCTGTCCGTGACGCTGTCAACCTTGCCCTGGTGAACTCATCCTTACATTTTCATTGTATCCAAGTGTATTCTTCTGCAGCCTTTCCAACAGCCATATCTTTGATGGATAAGCTACAGAATGCCGGAAGATGGAGGGTGAGTCCGGAGAGCTGGTGGTGTCTGCCTTGGGATCTATATATCTGGATAGTGCTTGGTGACTCCAATAGCTTCTGCTATTTTGTTCTGTTTTTAAAATGTTTTCTCACACAATAGATGATCAGTAAATGTGAGCTCTGGTTACCCATGTTTCATCTCATTGTTGTGGTTTACACTCAGTAGGTGTTCAGTCACTGTCAGTTGCTGTGGTTTGTGTCTAGCCTCATTGCACATTAGGGCTTAGAAGCATCCAGTTCTTTGAGGGCAGGGAGGTATGAACACAGAAGTCCTTTCCCATGCAGCCTGTGAACTTTGTTGATGTCAGTGATGTTCTGAGTACTAGATAGAGGTCTTCAGTTGTGTGACTCCAGCAGGTCACTTCAGCCTGATACAGTCCACCTCTTCTGTGGCAGGCACCACGCTGGTTTTGAGGTCAAGGTCGGCACTGGACTTGCTTGCCTGGTGGGAGGGACGCCAGTGGAGCAGCATCATCTTCTTGAAGTACTTCATGGTGTTGTTCTTGACGGTCACGAAGCAAACGGTGTTGATCATGCTGTTGCTCATGGCAATGCACTCGACCACATAGAAGGCGGTGAGGTAGTGCTTCTCCTTCACGAACACGGTGGGGAAGAAGTCGCGCACGATAGTGAAGCCGTAGAAGGGCGCCCAGCACAGCACGTAGGCTGTGAGGATGCACATGAGCACCAAGACCGTCTTCCGGCGGCAGCGCAGCCGCTTGCGGATCTGCTCTGTCTGGAACCCAGGCACCGCCTTGAACCACAGCTCCCGGGAAATCCGGGCATAGCACAGGGTCATGGTGACCACAGGGCCCACGAACTCAACGCCGAAGATGAAGAGGAAGTAAGACTTATAGTAGAGCTGCTGGTCCACGGGCCAGATCTGGCCACAGAAGATCTTCTCCTGGCTCTTGACAATAAACAGGACGGTTTCTGTGGCAAAGTAGGCTGATGGGATGGCGATGAGAATGGATACCATCCAGACCAAAGCAATCAGGAAGGAGGCTGTTTGATAATTCATCCGTGGCTTTAAGGGGTGCACGATGGCAAGATATCTGATGGGGGAGAAAAGCCAACAATAATAATGATGTTTGCCTGGGAACATGATTAGCTCTTAGTGAACCCCAAACACGCACAACAGCAGACAAAATGGCACAATGAATCCCCACTACCTGTTACCCAGATCCACCAGGCTTATTTCAACAATGTTTGGAGTAGTGGAGTGTCTTAGTGGAAACAGCACAGACTTTGGGTCAAATGAGCTGAATAAATCCTGGTTTTTTCCTGATTGGCTTTGGGGTCTGGGATGAATACCCAATCTCTCTGAGATTCATTTCCTCAAATGCAACCTGGACTAAAATGATACCTACCTTGCAGGGTTGCTGTGAGCATTAAATATGGTATTTTTTTTTGTAAAATGCTTTGTGTATAGTAGGTGCTCAATAAATACCTGTGGCCTATTCTTATTAATAAGAGTCCTATTATACTACCTTGGGTTTCTACCTTGTCATTCTGCCCATAACATATTAATAATACTCTCAAAGCTCTTCCTTCCGAATATCTCATGGTTTAGAGGTGAAGGAAGTTTTGTGTACCTGAGAGAGGTCGGGCCTTTGTAAGGGCAGGGACCTCTCACTTTCTGTGTGTCCTCCTGTATTTCCTGTATTTCAGTGGCAGGAGAGTCAGGGTGGGCTTGTGGTGGGATCTAAGGACTCTAATGAGAAGTAAGTATTTCACCCAGGCTCATAACGTGCAGGGACCAGAATCCAGGCTCTTGATGCAAAACTTTTAAACCCACCTCCCTGGGCTGTCTCACACACAAATGAGGTGTGTGAAGTCACTTTGACACCATAAGGCCTTTTCCCTCCTCTTTCTAATGTGCCACACTGTCTGGAAGAGAGAGTGGAGCCCTTTGTGGGAAATGAGCTCATCTGTGTGGGTTGACTGTTGTCTTTCCAGAAAGACCTAATGACACCTATTTAGACACTTTGGTGCCCTGGAATCATTTCTGTGCATTTTGTTGTTGGGGGGTATGGTGGGGTGGAGGGAAAACGTGGAGGAAGACAAGAGGCATGAGGGACAGGAAAGAAACAAATCAACTTTGGAAATGAATGTGTACCCCATACCTGAAGCTTGAGTTAGGTGGGGCCAAGAGCAGGAAGCTGCCTACAGAAAATTCTATCCCCTTTATCTTTTCTTTGTAACCAGGCTTTTAAATAACCTTTCTGAGTCTCTTACTGGACTAAGAAAGCCTTCTGTCATGTTATTTCTTCCTGTCCTGGTCATATTTCTGCCACAGGGTTGTTTTATCTTCTCTTGCCTGACACCTGCCTGCTGGTGGCTCTGATGTATAGAATTCCATTAGGAGATCCCATGTCATCTTGGTTCTTCCCAGCTGGTAGCTGTCTGATCTAGGACAAAGCTGCATCCCATCTCACCACTGGCTGCACCCTGGCTAGATGTGTTAGTATGCACAGTGGTTGCTAGAGTTCTTCACCCATCCATGTGATCTGGCCTTGCCAACTTAGCCTGCAGTACTTGCCTGGGTGGTCCAAGGCTCCCATGCCCAAGAGTGGGACAAATGGCTGGCTCATCCTCAACAGGGACAGGGAAATCTCACAATCACTATCTCTCTGTGGTGCCTCAGTGAATTAGTTTTCTATTGCTGTTATAAACAAATGACCACAAATTTAGTGGCTTGAAATGATGCAAACTCATTATCTTAGTTTTTAGAGGTCAGAAGTCTAATATGGTTTTCACTGGGCAAAAATCAAGTTGTTGGCAAGACAGCATTCCTTTCTGGAGGTGCTGAGGGGATAATCTGAGTTTGTTTTCATTTTTTTGCATTTTCTAGGGCTGCCTGCATTCCTTGGCTGGTGACCCTTTCCTATTTAAAACCGGTAATAGCAATCAATCTTTTCCACATTGACAGAAATTCTTCTGCCTCCTTCTTCCACAGTTAAAGATCTTTGTGATAACACTGAACCCACCCAGATAATCCAGGATAATTTCCCTATTTTAAGATCAGCTGATTAGCAACCTTAATTCCATCTGCCACCTTAATTCCTCTTTGGCATGTAATGTGACATATTCACATATGACATTTTCATGTAACATTTCTGAAAATTAGGATGTGGTTATCCTTGTACAGAGAGAGGGCATTATTCTGCCTCCCACACTGAGCCCAAAGTCTTTAGATAATGCAGACCTAATTTGGGACTTAATAGCTCTTCCTCAATCTGGCTTCATCATGGACAATATCTCAATAAACAATGCCAAAAGGAATTTCCGCATTTCTGCTTATTCTGTTGTGAGTTCTTAAATTCTAATTCTTTTTCATCCAATAACATTTTCCAAATTCTGTAGAATGTTCCAAAATTCAGTGTTGTTATAAAAATATCAGAAAGAAATAACACTGACTTAGGAGCTATTCAGAAGACCTGGAGTCTAGCTATGTACCTGGATACAAGCTATGCACTTGGGTAAATCACTTAGGCTTGGGGGACTTAGAATCTTCATCTGTGAAGTGGGGACAATAATAACCTTACTGACAACCTCTCAGGCTTTCTGTCAGGTTCTGAGATGGTGAATGTACATAAGGCATGCTGGAAGCTAGAGCACATTGTTTAAACTGGTCAATTTCCATTCCTGGGCAAGAGGGATATATCTTCAAGGTCTATGATAACATCCATCTGCTTGGATGAGGCCAATGCTGTCCTTCCAGAGTCTCCATAACTTGAAATAGCACCTTTCTTGAGTACTCTCTGGATGGACTTGGCTCTTCCTCTGGCTGTGGCTGCAGAGACTACATTGGGGGGGGGGCTTCTGACATTTCTATACAGAAGGATGGGAAGACCTGTGCTTCTCCACCCTACATTCACTATTCACTTCATCAATGAAGGGGGGATTTGCTTACCTCAAATAAGAGGACCGAACACATGACACTTGACACCGAACAGATGAAATTGACAGCAGTTAATTAGTTACATACTTGCAGCCTGGGGGAGAAGAACACTGCACACCATGTAGGACCACACAGGAGTTGCACTTGGGAATAGAGTGAACATACAGGGGTTTTGGAGGCAGGTTTTATAATGACAGGAGGATCAAGTGACCTTGGTTCCCATGGGAGAATGAGATTGGCTTGCTTGAATATTGTGGGGAGGTGGGGTACACAGGCTTACCTAATTCTGCAATTAAATGTGCCCAAGGGTGGTTGTGGGGAAACCATTCTTTAAAATCAGTATCATTAGGGCAAAGGTAAGAGTTCAGCCATGCATCTTTCTTATCATTTTGCTTTATTCTTCAATTGGTTTAGAACCTGATTGGAGAAGAGGGGTGCTATTGACTAGGCTCCTGTATCATAAGGCCTGAAATTCCATGTGCTGCCTCAACCAATCTTTGAGCCTCATGGGACATCAAAGGCCTAGCTGTGAGCTCTTGCCTATTCTTATCACATAAACCCCTCCACCCAGCAGGAAGTGATCCCTATCCAGTTAGTTCCTTTATCAGCTGGACCAGCTGCATCCCCAGTCTCAACCTGCATCCCCATCTCCCCACCAGCCCACAATATTCAAACAAGCCAATCACCTTCTCCCATGGGAACCAAGGTTACCCCATCTTCCTATCACTACAGAGCCTGCCTCCTGAGGCCCCTGCTGGTTCACTTTTCCCAAGTGCAGCTCCTGTGTTACTCTGCATGGTGTGCAGTGTTCTCATCCTCCAGGCTGTGAGTATGTGACTGATTAACTGCTGTCAATCTCATCTGTCTAGTGTCAAGTGTCATGTGCGCCATCTTCTCATCTATGGTAAAGGAATCCCCCCTTCATCAACAGAGTGAATAAGAAGTGATCAGAACAATACCCTAAAATCTCAACATCTTCGTGAAGCATTCCCAGACTCCATCAGCAACACAATGATCACATCTTCCCTCAAGTTACTCTCGTCTTATCTCTTGATCATTCCTTGTTTCATAAATGCTAGTTTTTGTGTGGTTAAAGGCTCCCTGAGGTCAAGAGCTGTATCTTCTACCACTTTGTTTCCATGTACATGGACTGGGCACCTGTCAGGACCCAGCAACTTGTTGCGGATCTACCAGGTTACAGCAGATGCTGTCAGTGCCCCCTCACATCCCTTTGCTCCTATCACCTCAGTGCACACCTGTCCACCTCCCCCTCCACCAATACATGCATTTCTTTGCCCGATGCTTTCTCTGGCTTCCAGAGTCCTTTTGGCCACTTGCACAGCATTTCCAGAGCAGCCCTCCCCAATGACTTTTGAGAACTGGTGTGTAAATACACCAACTCCCTCCTGCCTCCACTCCTGGGAAAACTCTGAGGTTTGATCTACACTGGCTCCAACAGTCCCTCAGCAGGAATAAGCTCTAGTTGCCCACAGCAAAAAATTGCTAATGATGCATGCTGTACTGACTGCCTTCCCTTCCTTGCCTCACTTTCCCTTTCCCTATGGGTACCTCCTGGGTACCACCTGCACATAAACCCATGTCTCAGAGTCTGTTTCTGAAGTAACCCAAACTAAGACACAGATATAAGGTCCTGTGCTAGGCACTTTGGAGACAGAAAGATAGAAGACATTGTTATTGTGCTTAGAATTCATGTCTTTTGGAAAAGACTATCTGTAGCTCCATACATTGAGTTTGGAAAGGCAGGTTGACATCAGATCACAAAGAACCTGGAATGCTAGACTCAGGATTTGGCATGCATTCTGTAGGCACTGGGACTTTTAGAGATTTTGTAAATAAAATAATTTAGGAAGATCCATCAATGGTAATATTCTGATGCTTAATACAGATGAGTATGAACTTCAGGAGCCCCCTGGGCAGTGAAAAGATAAGCTAGAAAAGCACTATAATGTCCCAGATATGATCTTCTAAGAGATGAGGTTGGAGGTAAAATTGCAGAATTTGGTGTAGGGCTGAACCCACAGGTGGGATTGAGAGAAAGGCCAAGGATGATGGTAACTTTTCCCTGCTTGGGTGATTGAGAGAATGATGGAACTGCCAGTGGAGTGGGAAACCAGCTGGGGCAGGGTTGGTTTGGTGCTGAAAAGAACCCAGTCTTTTGTCTGTTGTATTGTAACAGGGTGATTGCTTCCCAAGAAACTCCAATGTTACAAAAAACAAAACCAAACTAGCTTTATAAAGACAAGGTTTAAATGGAACAAGGGCAATGAAAACTGACAACTCTCACTTTAGTAAGCATCAGAATCACTCAAGAAATTAGATTAAAACTGTAGATTTCTAGGATCCAGTCCATGGGATTCCCATTCAAGAGGCTGGGGTGGGGTCCAGGAATCTGGCTTTGTATCATTGTTTCAAATGATACTTTGTACCTTTCCCTTGGAAATTCCTGCAGTTGGTTGATAGGTACACATTTCATAAACACTCTTTCAGGGCTGGAGAGTCTCAGAGTTGTCATTAAATTGTTTCACCTGCAGGAATTGTGTTATAAAAAGGAAGGAAGATACTTCTTATACCTGTATGTGTATTTTACTGCCAAAATGAAAAATATTAAACTGGCTGATTAAAAAGGATAACAAACCTAACAGTACTGAAAATGAGGGGAAAATGGAAGAATTGAAAAGAGACAAAAGGAAAAAAAAGGATGACTAAACACATCATCAAAATGAGTACAGATGACAATGGTGGATAATAACCAAAAGGAGGGGACATCAACTGCCCACCTCAAAGAGAGTCACTGATGATGGTCTGATGGTGGCTTATAACTGCTCACATAAATAAAACATGTAGAAGATTTGTTATAACCTATTATTATAAATAGTACTTTGTACATTTACAATAGATCAAAGGATAGGAGGAATAAGTTCTAGTCTATAGCACTATAGGGTGGCTGTAGTTAACACAATTTATTGTATATTTTCAAATAGCTACAAGGGAGGATTTGGAATATTTCCAACACAAAGAAATAATAAATGTTTGAGGTGATGAATATGCTCATTACCCTGACTGGATCATGACACATTGTATATATGCATTCAAATGTCACTCTGTACCCCATAAATATGTACAATTATTATGTGTCATTAAAGCCATAATACATGCAAAAACAAATAAAACAATAAATAAATGAAGGAAAGAAAAAAATAAAATAGAGCAAGGACTTCTGGAACATCTCATGCAAACACATGCAAATGAGCACACAGCAGTATGCAGAAAAGCAAAAGCAAGCATGTTCTTCTTTTCTGCAAACAAATCCTGTTGTCTTATTTTAAAATCAGCTCTACAACAAAGAACCAGAAACAAGGTAAAATATTATATGGTTCCTTTTTTATAACGTCGAAGGACAGCAAAACTGATCTATGATGATAGAATCAGATTAGTGGTTGCCTGGGGTGGAAGGATTGACTGGTAGGGGGCACAGAAAGCTATTCAGGTGATGGAAACGCTTTACATCTCCACCTGTGAAGTGGTTATGGGAAATACTTGGTACACATGGTCTTGACTGGAAGTTGCCCTGGTGAACTCTCCTGTGGCTTCTAGTAGTAGCTGCCCTAACTTTTGGCTTACCTTTGTGTCAGATGTCCCCTGCTATCATGTGACATGCCTGTGTCTGAGGCAGAGGTGGTATCTGTGGGCATGGCCCAGAGCTGGGACACTCAGAAGTCTCAACTCTTGCTCAAGTTCAAGATCAGTGAGCATACCTATCTCGACAATGCCAGCCTGTCAGAGCTAAAGCAAAGAAGAAGACAGCCCGGCCCAGCCCTGTCGCACACCCCTATCCACCATCCTTACCTGTCAATGGCGATGGCCAGCAGGGCATTGGTGGAAACGTAGAGGGAGACAGTGCGCAGGTAGTTGACAGAGGCACAAAGCATGTGGCCGTGCTCCCAGGAGAGCTGGCGCACTACATAGTAGTCCATCTCGAAGGGGCAGCAGACAATGGCCACCAGGAAGTCGGAGATGGCCAGGTTGGCGATGAGCAGGTTGGTGAGGTTGCGCAGCTTCTTATAGCGGGCGAGGGCAGTGATAAAGACAAAGTTGCCGATACCACAGACCAGCATAATGCCAGCCAGTGCCACACCGATGACGATCTTGGCTGCGAAGAAGGTCCGCGTCTTGGTCATGTCCTCCTCCTCATCCAGAGGGAGGTCATAATCACCATAACTGAAGTTGAAGGGGAGGGAGGTGGCATGGTCTTGGGGTGGATTAAAGTTGGGTGAGAAACTAGTGTTTTCGTTCTGGGCTGCCATGGTGATGCCTGCAGTGGTAGGGAAGTGAGGGAGGTGTGAAGGGTGGGGATCCAAGCACTCTTCTGATCTCACGGGGTCAGCTAGCCTAGCACCCTGCCGACATCCTTGGGGAGAGCTGAATTGCCTTCCTGGATCCTGGAAGCAAACATAACCAGTGGACAGCGTGAAGAACACAGGGTAGTTTTCTTTGAGTTTTCCAGGTGTAGGCCAATCAGATCCACTGTCTACCCACAGACAGAACTACTCAGGTGCAGGGGAGACTAGACATGAGATCTGGAAGCTGGGAAGCCCTCCTGGCTGTCCAGTTGCCAGGAAGGGTTGGGTATAGGATGGATGGGATTCTCCAGAGACACCCACGAAGATGTGTACCTTTGCCCTTTTCCCAGGGGCCAAGGCCTATGGGACTATTCAGTCACACCACCCTCCTGTGCCCGCCCCCAACACATCAGGTCCCACAAGAGTCTTCTGGAAGTTGTCTAAGGCTGCTCCTGGAAGGTGGCCCAGGTGTCTATGGCAATAACAAGGTTGTGCCACCTGTTGGTCAGGGACAATGAGGCAGGAGGGTCAGGATTCAGCAGGGTCTTTCTTCCAAAGCAGGACATCGCTCCCTCGGTACTGGCCAAACCACAGACTTGTTAATTACCAAATCCATTTTCACAGGTCATCCTGGGACAGTGGTTTATGCTCTCAGAGTCCCAGTCTTCCCGTAAACCAAATTTCTACTGCCCAGTCTAGGGTCTGGTGCACAGTGGGGGGGTGGCTAGGATCTGTTGAGTGAATGAATGATGGTGGGGGCTGTGGTCAGGAGGAAATTCTCCTGCTGCTTCCCAGTTCCTTGGGAACCGGCCACGGGAAGAAATCCCTCTGGCTTCCCTCCCAGCCTGACTCCTTTGGATCTGCACCCTGGTCGCCTTCACCAGACCAAGGTCTCCACCCACAGTCAACCCAGACTGAGAGGCACCATATCTTTTCACCAAGATCTGTGTCCTCTGGTTGTGGTGGTCACCCCAAGACCTGGCTTAACTGAAATCAAGCCCAAGCATGAGTGTAGGGCTAGGGGGTGGCCATAGGAGGCCCAGAAACTCCCAAGGGCTGAACTGTTCGTGGTCTGATAAGTCCTTTCTTTTCTGGATGCCTCAGTACGCCCACAGGGGAAGAAATAGTCTCTCAAGTAAGGAGTCCTCAGGAGACATGGCACCAAAGGGTACAAGGTACCACTGAGGGGGCGGAAAAAGAACTTGGACCCCAACACACTGGAAGGGGGCCCTGGCTGTGAGTGGTTTTCCCCTCACCTTTCCTCACACCTGGAACTGACTCCGTGTGGGGGGGAAGCGGGTTGCTGGTAGCAAGAAGAGACCACAATGGACTGGGTGTTTGGTTTGCTCCTGAGGAGGGAGGGGGACACCGAGGGACAGGAACTGCACCCCAACAAGGGACAGGAGTCACCAGGCTGTCAGGGACACCCCGACCCAGGTGGACCAAAGTAAAAACTTCCAGAGGTGAGGTCCAATCCCAGCGGGGGCTAGGGCGTCCTCCCTCCAGGTCTCCTCTCTCTCTCATGCGAGACCCCAATCCCCGCGGACTCCGCTCAGCCGGAGGCCGACACGCAGGAGTCCTGCCCCTTCGCCTTAGACAGGCAGCCGCCTTCCAGCCCCCGACCCAAGACGAGAGGGAGCGGGCACCGGCTGGGGCAGGTCCCGGCTCCGTTTTCGCCGGACGTGCTGGGACCCGCCCAGGAACATCCCGCTCCAGCAGCCGCCTCAGGACCTCCATCAACGCGGCCCCGCGGCAGGTCTCTGCAGGTGCTGCCCAGGCGGGGGAGGAATCAAGGCAGAAATTCAGGCTCGGCGGGGCGCGGTGGCTAACGCGTGCAATCCCAGCACTTTGGGAGGCCGAGGCGGGAGGATCGTTTGAGTCCAGGAGTGCGAGACCAGCCTGGGCAACATAGCGAGACCTCGTCTCCACAAAAAAGAAAAAATTATCTGGGCATGGCGGCACACACCTGTAGTCCCAGTTACTCTCCGGATGCTGAGGTGGGAGGGTCGCCTGAGCCCAGGAGGTCGAGGCTGCGGTGAGCCAGGAGCATGCCACTGCAGTCCAGCTTGGGCCACAGAGTGAGACCCTGACGAGGAAGAAAGAGAAAAAGAAAAGAAAAGAAACAGGTTCTAGAGTCAAAGCCCGGGGCAGGAAGGGAAAGGGGACAGGTGGAGGACGCGGCGCGCGGGACTGTGCCCACGGACGCTTGCTTTTTTGGCTCACCTTTCATGAAGGTGCCCTCTACCGTGCCCTCCCCTGCGAGCTGTCACTCGCCCGCCCGTCCTCCGGCCGCTCGGTGGCCCGCTCCGCCGGCGCCCGCACGCCGGGTCCCAGCTTCCGTCCCGGCACGGTCTTAGGGCCCGGCGCTGTTCTCCCGAAACCAACGCGCTCTCTTGGAGCCAGCCCCGCGCATCTCGAGAGTGGCGGGAGGCTAAAGCTGCCCGAGTGCCCCGGAGAAATGAATGTCGGAGGCCTCTGCCCGGGCGACGCCCCCACTGCACCGCCAGAGTCCCCATACCTGCCTGGGCGCTTCCTCCCTCCCGCACCCTGCGGCCCCGGCGGCCGGAGCGAGGGTCGCGGGGTGGGTGGGCGCAGGCCGCTCGGTTTCCACCTCGAGGACGCGGACTTACCCCGGTAGAGGTGCTGCGTGGGGGACGCCCCTCTTTCCTCCTGGTCCCAGCGCGCTTCCCAGGCGCGTCGCCGGCTAGCTCTTCCCGCTGGAGTTGGTGCTCCGCCCCCGCAGCTCTTCTGGGCGCCTCGGACCCGGCCCCGCGCGCCACGCCCCGCGATCGACCCCGCCCCGGGATCCCCCGCCAGCTTCTGAGCCCAGGCCGAGGGTGGGTGCTTGCTCCCGCACCCAACGGCGTGCTCTCTGGCCGGTGCGCCCAGGGCGCGGGGCCCCGTGGCTCTGGCCGCCGCTCGCAGCGGTTTCTGCACCTTCGTCCCCAGGTCTGCGCAGGACCGCAGGAACCAGATTTCCGTGGCGGCATCGGACGAAGAGCGCCGCCCTCTGCCGCCCACCAAGGCACCGCACCCGAGTCGCTCGCAAAGCAGCGGAGTATTTGCCTTCCGCTGGTGCCCGAGGCCAGCGCGCGCGCCCCGTACAAGGTGACTTCTTCAGCGGGAGCCGGCCTCCGACTAGAGCAGCCGTGCCTTTGGGGGTGGTGGTGAGGGAGTAGGATCCCCGGGAGGAAATGGGGATGGCGGCCGCTTTCCCTGCTCAAAGCTCTGATCCCGAAGTCCCCACCCAAACTCTGCGATGACCCTCACCGTCGGGTTCCTTGACCATTCCGTAACGTTCCTAGGAGTGTCTCAGCCTGTCCATGGGACACTCTGGGGCCCTCCATGTGACTTCCAACAGGCTGGCACTCTAAGCACCTCCCATGACCTCCGTGATTAAACGCAGGAACTGCCAATTCAAATGACCGGTAGCCGGGAAGCTCCGGGTGGCCAGATTGCACCTGTGGCAGCCGACTAAGGTCTGCGGGTGTTCCCACTGTGAAACCCCAGCGAACTGTTAACAGGTCGGAATACAGGCTCCGCTTTTGTCAGCTCTTTCCACTTTCCAAGAGAATCTGGACTTTGAGAACTCTTTGGGTTTGTTAAAACAAAACAAAAACGTTGTTGGCCAAAGAGAACATATCTCTCAGATGGAACACGGTCCGTGGGGCTGCTGATTAAACCTTTGTAGATAGATGAACTTGAAACCCCTTCAAGTTGGGACATTCTGTGATTCTGCCTTTTCCGGGCCTTATGTGGAACTAACCCCAATGTACTTCCCTTCTGGCATCTCCTCAGCATGGTCGGAGACAGGAGATCCCGCTTTTCGCTTTCATCCCAGGGAGGGGCTGCAGCTGGCCCAGTGTTGAGGATGGTCAGGGCAATCTCCAGCTATGGAGGCAGAAGAGGCTCTGTTGTTGAGGAGGGAGAATGATGGGGTGGCCCGTTGCATGCCCCAGACACACTCTTTGGAGGTTCCTTTCAAAGGCTTGGTGTGTGCTTATCAACTTTAGCTAAAGGCTTTTCCACTCATGGACTTTTCCACCCACCCTTTTTATGGGGCAAACAGACCCTAAGACCCTATGCCCTCTGGTGCTTTCCTGGAATCTTCTGAAATAGAGTCATGGCAGAGTTGCTTTCACACAGATCTGGAAGCCCACAGATGGTCATTTTAATAATGCAAAGTCCTAGCCGGGCTCAGTGGCTCAGCCTGTAATCCCGCGCCTTTGGGAGGCTGAGGTAAGTGGATTGCCTGAGCCCACGGGTTCAAGACCCGCCTGGGCAGCGAGACCTCATCTCTGCAATAAATCAAAAAATCAGCCGGGTGTAGTCGCGCATGCCTGTAGTTCCGGCTACTCGGAAGGCTGAGGCGGAAGGATCGATGGAGCCCAGCAGGTCGAGGCTGTGGTGGTCGGGAGCAGCCACTGCACTCCAGTCTGGGTGACAGAGTGAGACTCCAACTCAAAAAAAAAAAAAAAAATGCAAAGTCCTGACTACCCTCAGCAGAGTAGTAGCTTGGCTGGTGGTGAACATGTGGTCTCCAGCATGTTGATGGCTGCTTGTGCTACATGGAGTTGTCTTAATTCAGGTTTCCCCCAAACAGACTCCAAGAAAAAGACTTGCGTGCAGGCAGTTTATTGGGAGATGATCCTTGGAAGCACGAGCAAGACAGAGGGGAACTGGGACAGGCCTGGAGGAAGAGCCAATACATGTGAACAGGGTATCACTGTGGGCCACTGCGGCTCTCTCCAGTTGACTCACAGACTGTGTGGAACATGCATCATGATTATCCATTGTAGCACAGGGAGGCTGGGACATTTGCCCGCTGATTCCTGCCTCTCCACGAATAGACAGCTTCCCTGAGGGCCATAACTCCCTTCCTTCTGAGCTGTGTCCCTGTGTGGTACAGAAAGCCTAAGGCCGAAAAGAAGAGAGCTTCAGGCCTTGGATGGGAGGAGTTGGGGTCTCAGGAACTGTGTCTACTGGTGAGTTTAGGTGTGGA